CACTCCTCAGTGGGGGGTTTGGAGGTGCCCAGATGAGGCCCAGCTGTGAAGCAATGCAAGCTGCTGTGGGGCCTTGGGCCTTCTCTTGGAAGTTCTGAGTCTGTCTGGCCTGGCTGCAATTTGTTAGGTAATTTTCAGATTGCAAAGGATCAGGGCATTCATATGCAAAAGCCTCTGCCCACAGCCTGGGTGGGGCGGGGTCTCAGGGAATCAACAGGGCGGAGCAAGCAGCTGTGGCTGATCCTCAGTCCTGCCCTAAGGGGCCCGCATCTCAGTGTCCCGGAAATTCCTGCAAGCACCTCTGAGGGAAAGCTGCCTTCAAGTTCCGAGTTCTGCCTGCTGCCAGACCGTCCAGTTTCTCCCCATATGAGTCCTGGCTCCCCAGAGACTTCCCGGAACTGGAGTTCAGAGCAGTCGGGAGCTTGTGACTCCCTCCTGATTCAAAAAGACAGCCGTGTCCTCAGGTACCAGCCCCTTTCCGCACGCTCAAGCCTCCGTACCTCTGCCCTTTACTTCCGCAGCTCCTCTGAGTCCAGTGTGCTTTTTTCTTTCCTTCTAGTTGTAGAATTTCCACTCGGCCAGTCTTCCTGTGGTTCTGGATGATGTCCGTTTTGTCTTTTCATTGTATTTTTGAAGTTGTTGTGAGAGGCAACAATTTCCGGTGTTTATGCCGCCATCTTGGTTTTTCCCATTTTGTTTTTCATGATACTGACTTATACTGAAGAGACTAGGCTAGATATTGTGGAGAGGGTCCCCCTGAATTTGATTGTTTCACATGTCATTTAACTTGTTCTTTTCCCCCCTGAAAGTTCCTGTAAGTGGATGTTATAGGTTAAATCTTGATTAGATTGAAGTTGATATTGTTGGCATTATTACTTCATAGGCAATATTGTGTACTTGCTATTACATTGTGTTAGCGGGTACATATTGTCTGTGTGCACTTATTTTGAAGGTCCCTCTCCAAATCATGTCAATACCCAGCAAAGTGTACTCACATTCTATGCTAAAAGAATTTGGCTCTAACCTTTAAAAAAGCTTTTCAAATAATATAATGTTTTAAATTTAGTCAAGAATAAATCTTTCATTTTGTTTCTGAAATTTAACATTGACATATACATAAAACTATGAGATAATTTTCAGTTGATTGTTAATATAATCTTATTTTTCTAGACTATTTTTTCCTTTTTATTATGAAGACCTGCTAATATATACAAAGGTAGACAGAACAATATGATGACAATTCTCATGTACTCATCACCCAGCTTCAGCTAATGGTTAATGTTCTTTCATCTAGCTCTCCATCCACTTCTCCCTTCCTATATTATTAAATTTTAAAAAAATGAGATATAACTTACATGCCATAAAAGTTACCCTTTCAAGTGTACACCTCAGTGATTTAAATATGTTAACAAAGTTGTATGACCATTACAGTACAACGATTTTTAGTGTATTCACAGTTATACAACCTTCACAAGTTTCCTTTTAACCTACACATCTTTCCCTCCAAATCGTTTTCCTTTGCAATTTATTTGTTGAAGAAACTTGTTAGTTTATCCTGTAGAATTTCAATAATTTGGATTTTGCTGTTTGTATCTCTGTAGCATTTTAAAAAAATGTACCACTGTAGTATTTCCCCCCGTCCTCTGTATTTTCTATAAATCGGTAGTTAGATAGAGATGTGTGATGAGATTAAGATTCAATTTTTTCCTACAAGACACGTCATTGTATCTTTATGTTGTAGAGACACAAGTCTCATCTTTCGTTTTGTGATGCTAGGATGGTTAATGCTTAATGGGTTGATTTCTGAATTCATCAGGGGCTGCAAAATGGTGGCATTCTATCATTCACTATTTATTACTTGGAATATGTACTTCTGGAAAAATAAAATTTACTTTATCTGCTATTTGGTCACTCTTTAGAAAAGTAACATTTACTAAATTTGATTTTTATATTTTAGAGCCATAAACGTTTTTTTCCAGGTCTCCAATATTTTCGTAAGCAGTGCGTTATAGTGCTTAGTGGGTAAAATACCTGGTGACAGGGACTGAAGTAGAATAATAAGAAGGTGGAATTAGTGGCCCAGGAAATTCGCGCCAAGAGGTATGCATCCTCAGCTCTAGCACATTTTCTTTTTTCTCTGCATCACATGAGGTTCTCTCATATGAAGCATCACACACACACACACACACACCATCAGGGAGAAAACCTTGAAAAGTTTTGTTTCCTTTGCACAATTTATATACTTTTCCCTCATCGTTGATAGACATCAGTGAATAATCTGTATTTTCCCACTTTGCACCGCGCCCAGTAAGTTCAAAACCAGATTTTCTGTTTAATTTTGGAACAATAGGCATTTCTGACCCGTGTATCTACAATTTTCTTCGATCTCGATCTTCCATTAACTGTTCCTGTCTTTAAGCTGACTAACATTTTCTACGAGCAGAAGGTGTTTGATCGAACAAAAACGTTTACATAGCCATCGGCAGCTATGAAATTACCTTTTTCTTGGCCCTCTATTCTCGGCTGGGTGTTTTTTAAAAAAAATCTTTACTAACGTAATGATCCAGAGCCGGTTTCTCACTGGGGAGGCGAGAGGGGCGTCTTAATTCGTGTTACTATAATTACCGGCGAGTTGGAACATTTTTCCATGTTTGCAAAGCAGGTTTAAAATGGTTTGCTCCGGACGTGGCTTATAGTGAATTAGGGAGCTGTCGGTCCACTGAAAGACAAGAGAAATGGAACCCGGGAATCCCTCCTTACGTTTAAGTTTTGCCTCCGCCCTTGGATTTTTCCCTCCAAAAGAGCCCTGTGTGTCATAGGCCAGGGAAAGGGATCTCCGTCGGTAAAGCTGGAGGAGTACGGTCTGCACCTATGTGTATATGTGCATATCCAGTGGTTCTCAACCTTCTGGCCCTTTAAATACAGTTCTTCATGTTGTGACCCAACCATAAAATTATTTCGGTTGCTACTTCATAACTATAATGTTGCTATTGTTATGAATCGTAATGTAAATATCTGATATGCAGGATGGTCTTAGGCGACCCCTGTGAAAGGGTTGTTCAACCGCCAAAGGGGTTTCCGCGGTGGGTGCGCGCGAGGAGCGGCTGCTTCTGCCTTACTCAGACCCCACTTTTTCCAACCATAGCTATGGTTACCACGTCTCTCCCCGCCTCCCTCCACCTGCCAAGAAGACGGCCGGCCATTGGCTGCCTGTCACGAAGTCAGCCAGTCATTGGTCACTGGAGAAACCGGGCGCTCCCCCTTCCCTGTCTCCTGGGTCTCTAGAGGAGCCCTGCAAGGAGGCTCGGCTAGTGCTGCCGGGCCAAGGGCTGCCGGGACCGGGCTGCGACAATCGCTAGCGGGTCATGTCGGCCGCCCAGGGCTGGGACAGGAACCGCACCTCCAGTATCATTTGAGGCTATGATCGTAGACTAAGCCAGCTAGAGGTTATGCTCAACCGCTTCGTGCAACTCTCCGGACGGCCGCACCTGCCAGGTGAGTCGTGGGACGGGGTCCCGTGGCCCTGACAGCTCGCGGGCGCGGCGGGCAGGTGGCTGCTACCTTTGCTTTTCTCCCTGGCTTTCTTTCCCTTGAGAGGAGGAAAGGCAGGCCCCACACATCTCCGAGGGGCCGGGGCTTAGAGAAAAGGAAAGGTGTCTCTGAGGTCAGGGAGGGAACAGGAGCACACGGGAAGGTGGGGGGCGGGGGGTGTATTTTTGCTCTGTTCAAAAGCTTTGTGCTGAGAGTTGTGTTTTCTTTTCAAAGGAGAGCCCGCTGTCTCACTGACATCCCCAAATGTTTCGCTCACTCGGTTCCTAGTCTCGTCCTTTCCCGCAGTTTGATCTTGTAAAAGAAAGACACTGGCTTCTGGCTGTGGACATTGTCTTTTCAAGGGGTGCTAAATTGAGGAGAGAAGAGGGAAGAGCATTCCAAAGAGTGATTTTTGTAAAAACCATCTCGAGTGTGTAAAAAAAAAAAAAAGGCATTCTGAACCAAGAAAGGGGGGGTAGGCGTGGAGTGGAGGGGTTGTTGGGAGGTGGGTGGGAAGCAGAAGAACCAAGAGAATCAGGGAAAACTAGTTACATTACTCATGTTTTAGAATGTCCAGAGGCAGAATGGATAGTGTGGCTGGATTTTTAAGGGAAGAAAACGAAGATCAAGAACATACTGACAATATTGTGCCGTGTCTACTCTATAAAAAACAGCTGGTTATGAATTGGAAAAATGTACCCTGTGTGACTATTTTTCACGTTTTGGCCCACAATTCCGTCTCCTCCATCCAGTTCAGATGCCTTAAAAAACAAAGACAAGTCCAGTTGATCTGTATGTCCAGACCATTGTGAAACTATACATTTATAAGTAAATGATCAGCGTAGTAGCAGGAGGGCAGGGAAGTAAATGCCGCACAGAAGGTCAAATATGAATTTGGAAAGCTTTCTTTTTACCACGAAGAGAACTCTTAGGACGATGTGTTAATCGTGCACCGTGTTTTGTGTGTGAATACTGTTGAAGTTGGTTTTATCAGTGATATATGTAGCTGATGGATTTTGAGAACATGCTGGTTTTTGAATTGTGTTTATTACCGTGCCTTGTACTTTTACGTAGTCGAAAATTGTTATTTGATTCATTTGAAGATAACAAAGGGAATTTTGCGCATGCAATGAGACAGTTGCTTCTGTCTGCGATACAGTTATTGATGTGTGGCAGAGATACACGTTAGCCTTTTCTTAATGCGCCATTGAGATGAAGATTGAAGTACTATTAAATGGTCAAGTGTGTAATGTACCAGGAGTTGGTTTTGAGTTGATAGTATCAGATTGGGTATTTTGCAATCACTAAATGGTATGTGATTTTTCTTTAACATGAAAAAGAAAACAGGAGTCTTTTTTTTCCTCACTCCAAGTTAATAACAGAAACTTACATTTTTGTGTGTTGAAAGATTAGAAGATAAGTCTCTTACCAAAACCTATCGCCGGCTTGCCCTTTACTACTGAAATCTTTAGGTCTTTCTTTGATCTTAGATTAATTATGCCATGGGCTTCAGAGAGACATTTCCGGGCTTCAAGAGCCTGGTCGATGCACTTCCTCACTGCCACCACTTGGTGGCAGTGGAAGCCATGATTTCTGATAAGGGGCCTCAGTGTGGAGCTATTATTTCTGTATTCCCTTAGCACCAAAGGCCAAGAAAGGCTGTTTGTCCAGAGGTAAAGATAAACGTGTTTAAACTGTGAGAATTCAAGCCTTGGGGTCATCAGCCTCTTTCTTTTTCTCATTCTTTCTTCCCCAAGTAGGCAGCCTCTGTCTTTTCTTTATTCTCAGAATTGGAATATCTGATATCGCAATATATACTTTGAAATTCTTTCACACCAATGCTTTCTTTTCCTAAGTATTGCATTTAAGCTTACTCTCCCCCTTTATTTTGAGATGTTTGAAAAGATTTTAAGTGATGGGGAGGGATAGAAATGTCTGGGCCTGTTTTATGGCTGAACCTGGAGGTAAAAAATAAACAAATAAATAGAGGTTTAAGTTTTTGCAGCTAATGTTCTCTCTCCTTTGCATCTAACCCCATTTTCCATTTTTCCTCCTTTTCTATAAAGATTTCCAGATTCTGAGCACCCAGATCCCTTCCTTAGGTTTTGGGCATCTCCCCCCCCCCCCCCCCCCCCACACCACCAACACCCCAAACCCCCCCCCCCCCTCTCTCTCAGTGAAACAAAACTGAACCATCTGATCTTCCAGGAGCGTCTCTCTTTCAGTGATAGCACCCTGACCCACGTTGTGATGCAAATTTGAAATTTGGGCATCCTCTTTAACATTTTCTTTTCCCTTGCATTTCGGGTATAATCAGTTACAAAGTCCTATTTGTTGTATTTCTGCCCTAACTCCGGTCCATGCTGCTATCATCGATCACGTAGGTCTCCTACAGTAGCTTTCTAAGCAGTCTTCTGATTCTACTCTTGCCCAGAATTCGTAAGCATGCTGATCTTCTGCTAGCACACGTCTGTTCCCATCTCTGTTCACACCCCTTTGCTAGCTTTTCATTGCTTTTAGGATAAGGCAGAAATCCTTAATATGGCCTAAAAGGCACTACACAGTTTGTAGTTAACTCTCTAGTTAATTCTACATCATACGGTCTTGCCCTTTGATCTTTACCCACCTCCTTAGACATATCATGCTCCCTTCTGCCATGGAGCCATTGCACCCACTCTCCCATCATTCAGGAACCCTCTTGCTCACCATTTTCTCTCTCTCTTTATTTTTACTTTTCTTCCATTGGATCTCAGCTTGATCACACTGTTTTTTCAGGGAAGTCTTCTCAGACCTTCTGATTTATTCTTTTCTCCCTATACACACTCATAGCACCATGTGGTTACCGGGTATACTTTCCATTTGTGTGTGATTCCTTGATATGCATGAATTGATACTCTACACACACACACACACACACACACACACACACGATGTCCCAAAAATGTATACACACTTTGGCTACCATTATTAATTCCAGTGGATTAAATCTGAAAACAAAGAAACATCAATTGAGCTATCAGCTGTTAAAATGGGTATACCTTTTTAGGGAACACACCTGTATATATACCCACTTCAAGTGATATATGTGTATACACATAACTACTTACATACACATATATTCTTAAATTCTAAATTAACACATTGGCATGTGTAAGCAATTAGTTTCTTGTGAATTCAATTTGATTGATTTGGTTCATTCCTCTCAAGCAGGGCAGGGGAACCTTTTTTCTGCCAAGGGCCATTTGATATTTATAACATCATTTGAAGGCCATACAAAATTATCAACTTAAAAATGAGCCTGTGCCGAAACTGGTTTGGCTCAGTGGATAGAGCGTCGGCCTGCGGACTGAAGGGTCCCGGGTTCGATTCCGGTCAAGGGCATGTACCTGGGTTGCGCGCACTTCCCCAGTGGGGGATATGCAGGAGGGAGCTGATCGATGTTTCTCTCTCATCTATGTTTCTAACTCTCTATCTCTATCTCTCTCCTTTCCTCTCTGTAAAAAATCAATAAAATATATTAAAAAAAAAAAAATGAGCTTGTGATCAAACATCTAATTAACTCACCCCTAATGCCTTGGCAAGCCCAGACCAAATGATTTTGAGGGCCTTCTACAGCCCTTGAGCCAGACATTCCCCACCCCTGCCCTATAGGTTCTACTGACTCTGGACAAATAAATAAAAATCAAGTTCTGAAACATAAAAATAGTGGACTAGACTCTCCATAGTGACAGTACAAGTGATATTTTGTGAAACCTTGTTTGAGCAGCCTCTTCTTTTTGCTGTTTCTTAAAATAGAATAGTGACTGTTTGCCCCATAGGCCAAGGAATTTCATAGCTTCTTGGTCCTGGATTTTTACTAACTCATCATCTCCATACACGCAAAGAATAGGGAACAGAGCTTTTTGTAGAGGAGATGCAGTGGTAGAGCTCTGGAGCAAGGAAATGATGGGGATAATGGAAGCCAAGTTAAGATTAATTGTGAGTTTGATTAAATAGCATGTACAGTATTAGCTGGGGAAACAGTTAAAACATTGGTAATGTAGGAATTAGAAAATGGATTAAAAAAGGAGGGAAAATGTAACAATTGGTAAAGCTGGGTAAAAATACTGAAATCTTAAGGTTTTAAAATGTGATATATGTTTGTGATATAAAATCCAAATGATACAAAAGAGCATGTGTTAAAAAGCAAGTTTTCCTTCTAGTTTTGATTTCAGCTAATTGGCTTCCTTCCTAAAAGCAACCAGTGATAAATTTTTTTGTGTATCCTTGCCAGAGAGATGTGGGGTTGGGAGGTGAGAAGGGAGGATGGTAGCATTTCTTTGTTTGGCTGGGCATTTAAAATGTATACAGTTGTGCTAGTGCAAATGATGATACAATGAATATTCTTGTGCATATATAATTTTGTACATTGAGTGAGTCTGTCTTTAGGATATATTCCTAGAAGTTTCAATTGCAGGTCAAAGGATATATACTATTTAAATTTTTTTTCTATTTTTGTTGTTGTTGTTTTGTACTATTTAAATTTTGATAGATTTTGTCAAATTGCCCTCCACAGAGGTAGTACCAGTTTATGTTTCACTATTGTTGTTGGAGTATTGACTTTCCATACCCTTGGTATCAGAGTAGGTTATCAAACTTTTTTAAATTGCCAGTGTAATAGGTATTTTTTTTCATCTTTTCAATAGGTATAAGAACCATATTTGTTTCCTGTATTTATAACATTTGCTTATATTTTTTATTCATCTGGATATGTATTTTTTGTTCATTTTTCTATTGGCATGTTTAATCCTGTTGGTGGGAACTCTGTTCTTAGGAAATGTTTTTGAGGTCTTTGCTACATGTTGCAGACATTTTTCACAGTTTGTCACTTGGCTTTTGACTTTGTTTAATAGTGTATAACTTTAAAAGAAATGAAAAAATTTTTATTGTTGTAATTATCAATCACTTTTGGATTTTAAGTTTTG